CCGCCTTACAGGCCGGTCGTGCTGTCCTGCCTTATACAGCCCCTTAAAACATATTGCCTTAAGAGCTGTTGTGTTAAATTAAATGATTGGCATTATACTCATGAGGAAGGATAGCACTCAGTAGAACTAATTCCACGATAATGTTTACTTTCTTGATTCAGGAAGAGAGATCTCTCATCCAGCTCCATTTCAGTGGATGCCTGATGGGCTTGTCAGCCGTGGCCATGTGGCATATAGGTCTATTGTGTTAGTTTTCGTTATGTAAAAGTTTGTAGTTTAAGTACCTGAGAGATCCTTTTATTAACCTTAGATATATCATGCTTATATAAAATATCCTCATGTGTGCTACCTTATTTTAGAATTCCAACTAACTCCTTCAACTCACACCTGTCAGAAGTTCTAATAATCAGCGAGTGTGATGTCAAGATGTAGAAGATTGGTCTTGGAATAAGCGTGAGGGAGAGCAGTACCCAGCGGCGTCCTTCCTGTCTTGAGCGTAATATTTACAGTTAGTGGAGGAGATCCCTCATCCAGCTTCTTTTAAGCCTCCTTCGGGTGCTATCGGGCATGTTAGTTGTGGCCATGCCTCAAATCAATGAGTTTGTATGTCCGTGTAAGTTATTATGAAATCTTTTGTAGTATGTTCGTATGTGGTTGTTAACTGTTGGCATCTGCAAGTCTTTATGTAGAGTAATGTTACTGACGTACGAGGGAGCTTTGGTGATAGTCCTGAAAGTTTTAGATTGAAAAGTCTGTAATTTACGTATGTGATTCTTTTTGGCTGTTCCATATATCTGTGAAGCGTAGGGCCAAATAGGCTTGAGTAGGTAAGTATATGTATTCAATTTCTGTCTAAGTTTTAATTTCGAATTTCTTGCATGGAGTGAGTACAATAGTCGTAGTCTTAGGTTTAGAGTTTTTGTTTTTGTTTTTGATATGTTTTGGTGACCCCATGTCATTCTTCTGTCAAAGGTCAGTCCAAGATATTGAACTTTGTCTGTCTGAGGAATTTGGATATTGTCAAGGTAAATAGGGGGGCAAGTTTCACGTCGAAGGGTAAAAGTGATATGTAGTGATTTGTCTTGGTTGAGTAGAATTTTCCAGAGTTTGCACCAGTCGTAGAAATTGTTTCATCATCATTATATTTAATCTCATTTAAACACCATTTATTTTTCCACCTGCTTAACAATCTTCAAAATATATGTAAGAATAATATTTTCTCATTTTACAGCTATCATCCTCATTTTATTTTTATCTCTCAGATATCTATATATTATCTATATTTCATATAAGTACAGATAGCATACTTATATATTTCACACGTTTAGGGTTAGATAACTATGCAACATAATTAATTTTTGATCGTCTTCTAATGCCAGGCAATCTTCATTGATCGTTATAATTATTCTGATTATACTAAATTTTAACTTTACAACATCTCAATTTTCTATCTAACTATTCTATTCACAATTAATTTTAATGTTTATTTCCATTTCTCATATACCTTCATATTTTTCTGTTTTTACATTTAATTCTAAGATTCCCATTTTAATACTTATGTCACCTTTTTTGATTATGTTTACTTCATCATTCCACACTTTGTACCGCTTATTATCAATTATCTCTTTGTTCTTACTATTGTCATTATTCTAACAACTGAATTTTACTTTAATTTTTTAACCTACACTACTTATGTTTTCCATACCTTGTTATCTGGTTCTTTTCTTAGCCCTGATGATGGCCTGAACTTCAGGTCGAAACGTCGGCAAACGTTAAAATAAATATTATCATTTATTTTTGCCTTCTTATTTGACTGATCTCCCCAACTAATCTTCTCTTCAAAATTAATTCTTTTTTGGTGGAACAAGAAATAGCTGATGTGTCCATTGACAGGACCTTTCTTACCACTTTGGGCTAGTGTTGCCCAAAATCGGTCTTAGTCTTGTACTTTCCGAGACCAAGACCAAGACTGGTAAAAAGAAATATATTTCTTGAATATATATTAAGGCAAAATAGTTACTAATACTTGACAATTTTAGTTATTATGTGTAATTAGTATAAACAATATACTTTTGCATTTAACTCTTCTAATTTTTCATTCGGGCTCAGTTAGGTTTCTCCTATCCAAAAAGTTAATGTGATATCTTATATATTATTACTAAAAGGTGTTTTTTTATCGATACGCCATAATTTCGTCAATTCTTCGTCAAATCCAATGATTGACCACTCATTTTGAAGATATTTTTCTCCTTCACATAATCCTATCCCCCCGAAATTTCTGGGAAAAAGTCATGAAGAAAATAAACTTTATTTGCGAATAACTCAAAAAGCATGCTTTTTTTGCATTGTAGCCATGAAAATTAGAAAGATTATTAAATTACCTAAAAAAAAAAAAATAAAAATCATACAATTATTAACAAAGATACAGTCCATTAGTTTTGGTATAGTTAATAATGTCTTCCTGTTTAAAGATATTGTATTTAGGATGATATATTTTTTTTCCTGGATGATATATTAAGTTTGTTATTTCTTAAAGACATTTGGTTGTTCTTACATTTTATTTATTTTTAATAATTTAAAAAATCCCATGAGAGGGTCATCATTTTGTCTTTATTCTATTTCTAGTCAGCGTTTAAAAATAGGTCTTAGCAAAACAAATTGCACAAATATTCTTGTCTATTATGTTTAATGGTATATTGTAAAAGACCAAGGAGAAAATATTAATTCTTTCCTTACATAATACATAGGAACTACTTATTTCTATATTGTTTTGCTATTTCTTCACTAAGCAAAATTTTCTGCGAATTATTCGCACGGACCAACTAGTCTCTGTATTATTACGCTAATAGGTAAACTGCAAGACTGTTTCGAGACTCTTTCGCAAGACCAAGACCTAGGCTAAGACTGAGTTTGCAAGACCAAGACTCGTCTTGGTCTCGCATTTGGGCAACACTACTTTGGGCGCTAACAAGGGGATTGGGTTGATCGATTTCAACCGATTAATTTTTAATGATATGATTTTATGATTCGTTACTATAGGTAGATAACAATGATATAACTATAAAATCTTATACGATATCTTTTGCCGCCTTAACATGTCTGCTCCATCTCTGCCTATTTTGAGCAATTTTTTAACTTCATCTGGTTGCACATCGTCTTGTAGGCCTGTAGTTTTAATGCTCTAAGTAACGTGTCCCGCCCATCTTAACCTTCTTCTCTTCATATCTTGAGATATTGATTGACTATTTACTGTAATCAGTTGTTATTGGTATTTTCCCTCTATGCGTTAGTACCTTGATCTCGTATAGAATTAAATGTTCCTATTAAGTAATTAATAGTAGTTTGTCACACTTACATTTTATGAGATGATTTTCTTTTTGTTGAGTAGCATAACATTCTATCACAATATGGACAACAGTTACATTGAAGAAAGAGTACATTCACGCCATATTTACAGAAAATATAAAAAATAAAATAAAACAGAAATGAAATACCAACTAAACAATAATCAAAAATATGCAATAAATAAAAGTACTAAATTCCAAAATAAGTAAATTAAAATAAAACATACATACCTCTCTAAACTACTTACAATCAGGCAAGGAAATATAAATATAATATCTAGAAAAATAAATAAGATCTCTGTGTTTTTCTTCCATTCACGTTATTGGTGATAAAGCCAGTAGAGATTTGGCGATAGGGATATAACCATATTCACTCTTTTCTTGAGTGGAGAATCTCACCATTGAAAGAACTTCAATACACTATATCTTCTGAATTATTGCTCTTCAAAGCCGTATGAATGGTCTTTTGATTTAATGCCTACATAAGTTGTTTCAATAATTAAAAAAAAACTCCTCCTTGGTTTTTTGTTGTTTTATCTCCTTTAATAGTTTGTTAAAGAAGTTCCTGTTGATGTCATTCTGTATAGTTAATGTGGCGCTAAATTCCTTGTTGATAGCTGAAGTCGTATTGAAGTTATAACATTTTTTTGTGATTTTCGAAAAAAAAAATAATGTGAGAGACCCAAACATTAAGCCTGTAAACATCCGAGCTTGTGCAAATGGCTTTCTACGTTTGCGTGCGACACATTTAGGGCCATAGCGATCTCCCGCACTGATTGGGTGGGATTTTCATCAACAATGTCCTTAACATTGCTCGTTACAATTTCATGTTTGAGACCATTGATGCCGAAATTTCCTGAATGAAATTTGGCAAACCAATTCGTTCGATTAAGGCATCGTCTCCATAAACACTACAATTTTTTCTATGAAATTCTGCAGCACGCTTACCTTTTTTAAAATAATACAACAAAATATGCCGATAATGAATGATATTTTCTTCCATATTTACAGTGCAATAGCAAATACACTGCTAAATTAGTTTCAACAAGAGTTAACAGATATAGTTGTTGACTTATTACAAACAGGATAAACAATTCTCCTTAAGGATTTATTCATCAAATAAGAAGTGTATCATAGTGACATAAAAATAGACAGAAAAAACGAAAGGATTTATTTGCCAACCAAATGTAATGAGTGCGTGGGGGTGCTAGGTAGCGGACAGGTGAACAAATAGTCCACCACAATATTATTGTTCGATATTTAATAATAATCGTAATTTGATACATCGAGTTACGCTTTATTACTAAAAAAAAACTGAATCTATAATCGGTTATTTTCATATAACCGAAATTATTTTCCCTTGAATCAAACAGTTCCTCTCTAATCGATCTGAATACTAATCGATTGATGGATTCATTAATGTTGATTCGAGATACTTACCTCTAGCTGGTAAATAGATTTAGTTATCACACTGTAAATTTTTCAAAACTATAAAATCACATAATAAACACATTATATGATGTATCAAATCTTTTAACTTATTGTTCATTGTCGATTAATATCGTCATTATCTAAGATTATCTTGGTGTTAGTTTCCTTTATAAATGGAGTTAACTTCTTTTATCAATTATCAACTTTCCTTCAGACTTCTACTTTATGCCTGAAATGAAGTCTCTCCTTCCTCTTTCTCTTCTGATCGTCTTTCTCATCTCCTTCGACTCAAATGCAACCGGTCAAGATACAAGTGCTTACCTAGACGAGACTGAAATATTAGGTAAAGTGTAACTAAGTGATTATTAAATATTTAGTGGAGCTTATAGTAAAAAAATACTATCTAATACAATAGTATTTTTATTGCATTTTCCAACGTTTCGACCTATGTTGTAGGTCTTCTTCAGGGCTATAGAAAATACAAATACAGTATATATTAGTTATTTAATTATATATATAAACAATATATATATATATATATATATATATATATATTGTTTATATATATAATTAAATAACTAATATATACTGTATTTGTATTTTCTATAGCCCTGAAGAAGACCTACAACATAGGTCGAATATATATATATATTAATTATGCAGGGTGTTTCGTAATTGCATGGCAGTATTTTAGGTAAGTGTTCACTAACACAAAATAAACAAAAAAGTCCATATTAACATATATCTCAAATTCATTTATTAAACACATATCAAAGGTTAAAGATTTATTATTTATTATTACTATATATTTATTATTATTACAACATTTAGAGTAACCGTTCAAAGAGGCTTCCGTTTCGTATAGCATCAGGATGGTGCTTGATAGTTCCTGCGGCTTCCACGATCCGATTTCTTAGCTCTTCTTGCGTGCCAACTGCCGCAGAATGAACCATAGACTTAATCCAGCCTCACACAAAATAATCTAATGACGTTAAATCCGGAGATCGTGGTGGTCATTTAACAGGTCCGTTTCGACCAACCCATCGGTCTCCATAAGTTTCATTTAAATAATCAGTGAGCTGGAGCACCGTCATGCATAAACCACAGCATTTGCCTAATGTCTAGCGGAATATCTTCTAGAGGTTCATGAAGATTATTTTGAAAAAAATGTAAGTAAGATATACCTGACAACCTAAGTGACAAAAAGAAGGGGTCGACGATGTTGCTTAGAAAACCACACCAGACATTAAAAGAAAAGGTATGTTGGTAATGTCCAACAGCAGTTCAGCCCAAGTATGGATATTTTGAAAATTAAGAATCCCATTTCTTGTAAAGCAAGATTCATCAGTAACCAAAATGCAGTTCAGGAAGTTAGGGTCTCGTGTGCATAGTCGAATTAACCACTGGGAGAAATTTCTGCGCTTATTATAATATTGTGGTAACAAATCTTGTATACTAGATACGTGAAATTAGTGTTGCCAAAATCGCTCTTGCTCTTGCATGTTGCAAGACCAAGACCAATACCGCCTGTCTGTTGCACGACCAAGACCAAGACTGTTATAAAAAAATCTTTTTGTGAGCAAAAATTAAAGGAAAATAGTCAGTTATTAAGACTTGACAATTTTAATCACTCTATGCTAAGAATAGGTATATATATTGGCTTTTGCATTAATTCTTCCATTTTTTCAGGTTTAGTTAGGTTTCCTCTGTCTGCAAAATTACAGTAATATCTCTATAATTATAGGCCAATAGATAACTGCAAGACTGTTACGAGACTCTTGCGCAATACCAAGACCTATAACATGACTTAATTTGCAAGACCAAGACACGTTTCGATCTCGCATTTGGGCAACACTACGTGAAATAGATATAGTTGTTGTTCGCGTAAAGCTCGCCATACGCTGGTAGAGGAAAGATCGAAATGACGTGACAATCTTCTGGTACTAGTAGTAGGAGATAACTGAACAACATCGAGTATTTCTTCTTCAACGTTTACAGTTCGTCCAAATCTTTGTCGACCGGCGTTTACTCGTATAGGTTTTAGCGTGCCATTATTCCTAATGTGTCTTTCAATAGCCTCAAACGTTTTACAATATGGTATTCTTCGGTTAGGAAATATTTCACGATATATTCCAACAGCAGCAGCACCGTTTCTATGTACCTCGCCATAACTTAAAAGCATTTCTGTTTGTTCTGCAAAAGTGAATAAATTTATGGTGTCTCCCATGATAATAATAAATTGAACTGTGTCGCAGTATTCACTCTCACTAAAACACACGGAACTAGACAAACAGAAGAGCAACTACTGTTATTACTTATTCATTTGTTTATCAGGTTATTAAAACCTGTTATTTACTATTAAACACGTTAAACTTTGTACAGTCAGTCTTAATGTAGTAAATAAATAATAAATCTTTAACCTTTGATATCTGTTTAATAAATGAGTTTGAGATATATGTTAATATGAACTTTTTGTTTATTTTGTGTTTGTGAACGCATACCTAAAATAGTGCCTTGCAATTACGAAACACCCTGTAGAATGTTGAAGTAAATGTAAAAAACTATTGACATTCTGTTTAATTTGGAAAGGTGATGTGTTATTAGGATATTGTTGTATATTAAGTGTAATTGGTAGTTGGTTTGTTTAGAATAAAAATAATAATAAAAGTCACAGGGACATAATTTAAGATGTCGTGAATATGGATAGGGGGTGGTTTTCCATTATTACTAGATGATCATTTACAGATTATTCTTCGCTTAAATTAGTTAGTGGCCCAAATGGATTATATAATTCGTAACATTTTCATAAGATTAAAAAAAAACTATTCTAAAACTTTCTGAAACCTGTTTACGTTTTCTGAAATAATTGAAAAAATCTGGTGCGCGCAACACACAAATTTCACTTACCGCTCAACTTTGAATAGAAATTATTTTCTGGGCATATTGGACTGTTATATAATTTTTTAATTGTAATTTTAACCAAGGTAAAGCTAAAAAAATACAGCTAACAAATCATAAATACCATTAAAATAACAAAAGTCCTATTTATTATATCACCGGTTGAATATGGATTGTACGATCCGCTGATCATGGATTGTATTATAATTTTATTTAACATTGCAAAGTTTACAAAAACGGAATTAATAGATTTGCATTTTCTGTCATAGATAGGTCAAAAGTCAAAGTCGCACTAATTGTAGGTTGGAATGTCACAAAAGGAAATTTCATCAAACTATTCACTAATTTAATTTTCTAAAAGGTTAAATAATGATTTTTCGGAATAAACGAACGATAGATATCTAAATATTTAAATATAATATCAGATCTAGTGTTATTAAACTACAGTAAATATATTTAAGGTTTTATATCTATGAAATATTCTTATATTTCTCTTCTTTTTTTACACAAGTACAATGAAATAGTAGTGGATACTGTTAGGATATCACAAAGGGAAGATTCATCAAATTATTCACTAATTTAATTTTCTAAAATGTTACATGACAATGTTTCGGAATAAACGGACGTTGATATCTAATTATTTAAATATAATATCAGATCTAGAATTAGTAAACTGCATAAAATGTATTTTATATTTTACTTCTTTCAAACAAATAAAATGAAATAGTTTTTTTAAACAATGTCATTATCTTGATTAGGTGGATTTTTTTTTGTCTATAAAATATGTATTTGCGCCTGTCAACAATAAGTTGACAATCAGCAAATCTGATGACGATAATGATATAATGACATGACAGGCATGGGGAAGGAAAGTACTCAGCAGTACCTCTTCCCTAACTCGTTCCAATTACTTAGGTTGTCTAAGGAAGCAGATCCCTCATCCAACGCCTTTTTAGTCTCCTCCTCATGTTCTGAGGTATGTCAGCTGTGGTCATGTCTCTTATTAGTCTATTATTATGTCCATTTAAATTTGTGTAAAATCGTTGATATAGGGTCGTTATATGTTGGTCAACTGTTGGAAAGTGGAGGTCAGTATGTAGAGTTTTGTTAGTCACGTACCAAGGTGCTTTTGTTATGAGTCGCAATAATTTTGATTGGAACGTTTGAAGTTTTTGTAGGTGGGTCTTTTTAGCGATGCCGTATATTTGTGATGAGTACGTCCATATGGGCTTAAATAAGTATGTATATGTATTCAGTTTCTGTTTTAGTTTTAGTTTTGAAGATTTGGCAAAAAGAGAGTAAAGTAGTTTGAGTCGTTTGTTAAGTGTCATGCGTTTCATTTTAACATGTGGGTCCCATGTCATCCTTCTGTCGAATGTGAGTCCAAGGTAAAGTACCTTGTCCGTTTGAGGAATTTGATTGTTGTCAATATAAACTGCAGGACAGGTGTTTTTTCGAAGAGTAGATGTTATTGGTGGATTTTAAATACTTTTTTCAAACGTAAAAAATATTTTAAAAGTTTACAATTAGTAAGTAAATTTCATTTAATTTTCTTGAAAACATGTGATTTACGTTAAATATTATTATTTTTCAAAAATTATTATTTATAATTTTTTTTTTACTCTCTGTTACCTTCTACAACTTTCTATATTAGACATTGTTTTTCTCTAAGATTCTCAGCTTTCCAACGATATAATATACGTTTATTTTATAATTAGTATTTCCGGAGATTAATTTTCGACCTGGATAAGCATTTTTATATTTTTCTTCTTTATTCAATTATCAAATTCTTTCAAAAGTTATATTTATCATTTATTTGTAATTCCTAATAATGGGAAACAGTCAATTATTTAAAATAAATCATATTAAAGGTAGTTTAGAGAAACAAAAGTAGAGAAACTATTCCTGTCAGATACCCGGTAACCTTTTAGCATTATATAAATGTTAGTAATGTTCTGTGTTAGGAACACTACAAGAGTTTCCTACTCTTGATGCCAATGAATGCATTTATTATTTGTTTTTTTACTATTTTATTTGTATATTTAATTTTGTTAACACCTTTTATTTCTCCGTAAACCTATCCTATCCTATCCTACAGTATCTTTTAATAATATACTTATCCCTGTCGAATAAATCCGATACTTAGGACCCCACCTGGACAAATGACTCACTTGGAACCCCCATACCAGACTGAAACGACTAGAAACCGCCCGACGTTTTCGATTACTGCAGCACTTACTAGACAAAACACTCTAAACTTCCAACTATTTAAAAAGACTCATACACATTACTATAATAAGGCCTATTTGGACTTACGGAATCGAGCTTTAGGGCTCCACCAAACCATCAAATTTCTCTCATCTCTACAATCCAAAATCCTTCGTAAAATCCTCAATGCTCCTTACTTTGTCACAAATAAAATCATCCATAACGACCTTAATGTACCATATGTTTCCGATTTAGCTCAATCCAGATACCTATCCTTCCATAATAAACTTCTGAACCATCCGAACACTTTCGTTTCAAACCTTGCTTCCTCTTCTATTCCTGATAATCCTGCGAGGCGTCTGAAAAGAAGATGGCCTCGGGACCTTCTAATATAGAAATATAATTGGAGTGCTACCAATGCGTTGTTTCTGTTCATGTTGTTCATGTCATGTTAATTATTTCTTATTTACGCATTCATCATTTAATACAGTTGTAAATTTCAATAGTAAAAAAAAAAAAAAAAAAAGGAAATTGTATGTGTACATAAAACGTAGTCATATACATAATGTTTCATATCTTAAAGGGACCCTACACGGTCAATCGGAATTGCACTAATGACGTTCCGAATTGTCGTGTAAGGTAGTGAATGAAGTACTGATGGTGGTGCGCTGCGGATTTCCGAACATCCGGAAATCAAAGGTTCATTCACGAGAAGTGGAGGGGGGGCTGAGGTAAAAGTAGTGAGGAGACTAACCATACTGCTGGATAGGTTAGGTTACCTAGGCCTCACAACCATTATAAATTTCTGATTTTCATTATATGTAAATAGTTAAATAATTTTTCATATCCCTTGTTTATAATTTTAAACCATCTTCAACTATTTCTTTTAAATAGTCAAGTGGGCAACAAATTAAAAAAAAAAATGAGGAAACTTCACAATTTACTTTAGGAAAAAAAAAAACTTTATCGTTGTGTATATTTATCAGTTCTTTTCCCATTTTCCTCAACAAATTTATTATTTTCGCAATATCTTTCCTTAATTTTTGTAGGTAGTAGACTTATATTTTACTAACTTTTGTCAAAACGATTTTCTATGAGACTAACCTAACTACTAGATAGGTTAGTTTACCTAGGTCTCGTTATTAAGTAAATAATTTCATAAAAGTAAATAGTTGTTTATATCCCTAGTCTATATTATTATTAACCATTTTCAGCTATTTTTTCTTTAAATAGTCAAGTAGGCAATAAATTGGAGAGAAAAAAAAGTGGAAACTTCACAATTTACTTATAGAAAAAAAATCTTTAACTGTTGTGTTTATTTGCCATTAATTTTCCCATTTTTCTTAACAAATTGATTATTTTCGCAATACTTTTCATAGATTTTTGTATGTAGTTGACTTATATTTTGGACTAACTTTGGTCTAAACGATTTTCAGGCACTAGGAAGTAATTATTATAACTCCGTTTTTCTCTTGATGCCCAATATTATAAATGACAATTTCCAAATAAGCATATCTATGCTGTTTCTTTGTTTACAACTGCGCTAAATTGGTCAGCAACGATCTAACCTAAATCAGCAACGATAAGTAATGATCAGTAATGATTGAACGTGTAAGGCTCTTCATGATCAAAGCGATAGCGGGCAATCTTGGAACTTCTTGTGACGTTCATTCATGAATTACCGTGTAGGGTCCCCTTTAAGACGGATAGAGATAATTGCGTTATAATTTGTATTTTTAAATTACAATATTTTTTAACATATGTGTAGGTAAATGCATATTAACTATTCTTGAATAAACTTTTGTATGGTTTCTGAATACATTTAGATCCTGAAAGTATTAAGTTTCAAGAACTTTCCGACTTCAGTAAGATAGAGAAGAGGCAGTGCACCAAGAAATATTGTTGTCCGATTCCATTAGTTTGCTGTTTCGGCGGATTCTGCTGTTACAATTACAAGTAAAATTTTAAATAATGAATCAAATATTTTTTTGTATTCTTGTATATCTTTTTTATTATTATAATCTCGTATATCATGATTCGTAAATAATGTTATAATTATTTTACAGGAAACTGATGCCAATGATATTATGCATTTAATTATCAACAGTTCATAACATATGTTGAGGCCAGGGGTATTTCAAAATTAAAATACAAACCTTTCCCCGGTGAGTTTTCTCAATGTTGGGGAAAATACGAGCAAAATTAAATGGTGGGAAAGAAGGGAAAAAATAGTGAAGATGAGACCTGTAAAACATTAAAGAAAACACATGCACAAACAATACCAAATGAAATTACTCAATTAATTAAAGATGTTATGATAAGCAAATAAAGACATCCCCTTCTAAATGTTCACAATGCTTATTGAATAAAAAATCTGAATATGAATACAAGTTAAAATAAACAATGATGTACAGAAAAAATTTAATTTATTTGTTATTTAGAAATATTACATTCTGTCACATCAAGGACATTTATAATAGTGTTCAGAGACCACACTCACACTCTATTTACAATAATAAAAATAAATAATACAGAAACTAATAATAATAAAAATAAATGTATATAAACAAAAGAACTAACCTAATCATACACACTCGGGCTTAGGTGGAGGATCTGGCCATTGCCAAAACTCCAATATATGCTTATTTACAGAAGGTCTCTGGGCCACTGCCGCTTCAACCTTCGAGGAGGATTGTAAGGATGGGTGGTGCTGGATAGGGATTGTGCAAGGGGATTTGGATGATAGGTAAGGTTCTGGTGAAATTTGGAGAATTTTTTTGGGATAAGGTCTAGGACAAATGGGATATTAAGGTCATGGTGTAGGATTTTGTTATTTACATAGAACGGAGCATCAACTATTGTTCGAAGGAATTTAGATTGAAAGGATTAAATACGTTTGATGTTAGAAACTTTTGCTGTCCCCCACAGTTCAAGTCCGTATGTCCATATAGGTTTCAGTATTGTGTTGTAGATCAGTAATTTGTTTTCAATTATAATTGGCCATATCGTCGGTTGAGTTCTTCTCTTTTGAGTGTTGTATGTGGGTTCCACGTTAGACTTCGGTCTAAATGAACGCCAAGATACCAGACTGTGTCTGAGTAACAGAAAAAATAAAACATAAATACAATATCCAGAGAAAATAAAACCAAATTAAACATTAGGAACAAAATATAAATGAAATCAACTTCTAAAATCTATAGAAATAAAATAAAGATTTTATCTGTACATTGAATAGGATCAACCCGTTTGATGACATCTTTCCGTTTCATACATTGCAGAAACCAAACCCACTTTTTAAAAAAATTTTGTCTGTCTGTATGTCCGCATTGCAACGATATTTTGTCAGGTGTAAGCTCAGCAATGGTTTATTGTAGACTTTTGAAATTTTGACATTATATTAAGGTTTACTTGACTTAAAACATAGGCCTTAATTTAAAACAAAATATTAAGTATAACTAATGTTATGAATACTTGAGTAATTTGTCTAGAGATCTCGGTTAATGTTGATAATAAATGTTAATAATCAACAAAAGTTTATAGGTTATAAAACATCTATAAAAATAAAATAAAGGTGTTGTCTGTACATTGAATTGAATCAACCCGTTTCATGATATATTTTCGTTTCATACATTACAGGCACCAAATCTACTTTTAAAACATTTTTTAGTCTGTCTGTATGTTCGCATTGCTATGAAAGTTTGTCAGGAGTAAGCTCAGCAATAGATTATTGTAGGCTTTTGAAATTTTTACATTATATTAAGGTTTACTTGACTTAAAACATAGGGTTGAAATGAAAACAAAACATTGAATAGAACCAGAGTTATGAATTCTTGAGTAATTTGTCTAGGTTTGGCAGTTACTTCGATTCTCATCCCAACCTACTCTACCGCGAGCCATATTTAACAGTTGTACTATTCAACTGATGGAAAAAATTATCACAACTCAACGGGAAAAATCCGAAATACCAAACATCTGTAACGCGTTGTCGCTTAAATCACATTCATTTTTCAACTTTTCCCAATCTTCACATTCAAGGTGTCAGTCTATTCAACTTTCCGATCCTAACAAATGTTGTCGTATACATTTTTATGATTAACTAAACGGATTAGCCGGAAATCGTAAGAAAAACTTCTAAAAATTTAAATTACCTCTCTTTTCTTACCCAATGTTATGAAATTAACCTTCCCTCATAATACAATAACCATCTCAAAAAAAGATTCTCTAATTTTATTTATAGACCCGTCAACAGGTACATCAGCTAGTTATAAATAAAATAATAGAAAAAAATAACTGTTCAAAAGGAATATAACTAATTTGAGGGGGCAACAAAATTAAATAAATGTTTAAATGTCTCTTGGAGACGGTGAGAATAAAAAAAAAAAGATCAAAGTTGAAGGCTTTGCTTCCAACGAGGTTATTTCGGTGTTCAACTAATGTGAAATGCAGTCGATGGTGGGAAAATCGATAGCAGGAAATCGATAGGAAATTGTTCATCTAGACAATAGCTAACAATGTCCAAGAAGGGATTTGATTATTTGGATGATGATCATCTCATCGAAATACTGATATTCCTTCTCCTTATGAACACCATTTCCTCTACTTCTTCTTCCTCAAATAAAAAAGCGTAGTCAGAGAAAGAATGTCCATTTATCTTCGAAGATAAAGCGAAATGTTCGAAGGTTATAGGCAAGTTATAACAACCCCAGTGAGCAGTTTTAGCGAAATAGCTACGGCAGTACCTTACAGTGTCGTGGGCCGCGTCAGCGAAATAGTACCATAACAAATATACAACATTCCACTCTTCAACTATTAGTCCTCTTAATTCCCTTATCTTCTCTCTTTTTTTCCCTGTTACCATGTGAGCCTCAATTTAAAGATTATGAAGTCAGTGGTCTGATCTGTGTGAAATGTTAATAATTATCAAGAAATAAGAAGACAGAACGAACATCACATTTCCTCGTATGGCTTTAGTCAAGTGATTATTGGATTATGCGATTTGGAAAATCCCTAAATTTATCTTTTTTTATGTTTCATTATCGATGATTATCTTGTAGTCTTTAAACAGATAAAGACAGATTAACCAGTTTTCTTTAAAAGTTATTTACGTAGCATAACTGGCAACAACTCTTTGCGTTCAAACCTCTTTTATCCTTCAAGGCGACTGCCTCAATTATGAGTCCTAATCTACAACATGAGACTGAAATATTAGGTAAAATATGCTTTTGACTAAAATATGTTTTGTGGAGATTAAAGCCGTTAGATTTTCGAAGGGTAACGCTCATGCAAACTGGAGTCAATTCATTGAAGTGTTCTTTGCATATAGATAAAAATAACTCAGAAACTAAAAATCAGACTTGCATGCTATACGAAAAATAAATGTTAAACATTTCATTCTCTTTGAAAAGGGTTATAATTCAAAATTGTATCTTAATGCGACGCCGTTTTAGGCAGGAGAAAAGGAAAGAATAATAATAATAATACTTTATTTATTCTGGGACGAGTCTCTTTAGAATAATACAGAAAGATATAAATATAATCTAAGAAGCCTTAGAGATACATAAATAAAAATACAGAGTAATTCAACAGTCATAGTAAAAAAATGAAAAATTATAAGCTACTTTCTAATTTTAATCAGTTAATATTAAAAAATAAAAAATAGAAAAAAAAAGGATAAGTAAAAATAATGAAGCACGAACTAATAATTTATATACATATTTACATTATTATCAAAAATTTCAGGTTCCTGTCCTGTTCAATTTGGCATTAGAACATGCCATTAGGGAGGTAAAGCGTACCGAGAAAGGGTTGGATCTGGGCGGGACAACATCCGTGCTGGGCTATGCTGATGATCTGGTACTGTTAAACGAAGACGTTGAAACTATAAAACTAAATACGAAAACGTTAATGAAAGCCGGTAAAAACTAGGACTCGATATAAACGTGGATAAAACAAAATATATGTTTAGCTGCAAAAATGGCGATACTACTGGTGATATCGATATAGATGGTAATATGTTTGAACAGGTAGATAAATTTAGGTATCTAGGTTCTACGATAACTAGAAAAAACGAAATTGAAGAAGAAATTAAAGTTAGACTGAAGGCGGGAAATGTTTGTTATTTTTCTGTGACAAAACTACTTAGTTCGCGCCTCTTGTCACGGAACTTAAAAATTAGAATCTATAAACCAATTATCTTGCCTACAGTTCTTTATGGGTGCGAAACTTGGCCGCTTACATTAAGGGATGAGCAGCGTCTTAAGGTTTTTGAAAATAAAGTATTGCGCGGACCGAAGAAGGATGAGTTAACCGGAGAGTTCAGACGGTTACACAACGCCGAATTGCGTGAACTGTATCCGGGTAATTTAATTGAGGTAACTTCATCGCGGCGAATCAAATGGGCTTGTAAAGTTGTTGGGCTTAGTAACGAGAGAATTCCTAAAAGGTTAATATTTTCTGTGCCGAATGGTAAGCGTCCGACGGGTAGACCGAAGCGAAGGTGGGAAGATTGCATTAAAGCCGATCTGAAGGGACTGGGTTTGGACGGCGAACGGTGGAGGGAGGTATGTAACAAGCGATTGGTGGTGTCGGCATCGAACCTTCGGGTTCGCTAAGCCTTTTATTATTATTATTATTATTATTATTTACATTATTATCTATTTACAATTTCATGGGGAGTGGATGGATAAGAAATGATTGAACAGGCGGGATTTAAAGGTAGGAAGGCTATTGGATTGATGGATGTGTGGAGGGATGCCCTTATGTATAAATCAGAAGACCTGGAAAGAATATTGCGGGCACGAACAGAAGATTTGAATTGTAGCAGCTCGGAGATGTATGAAGGACCGTGGGATTGGATGACTTGAAAGAGGATGGATGCTAGGAAATACGACGGTAGGAAGAATAAAGGCGCTTTAACTCCGCATTGAAATGGAAAACAGAGGCGTCCGTTGGGATCCCGAAAATGAATCGTACAAAGCAATCTATCAAACGTTTTAGTTTCGCCTCAAAAATTAAAATAAAACTTCTTTTAATGCCCCTTTCATATTTAAATTGCTTTCGACTTATGGAGTTAGGAGAGAACGGAATAAATGGTATTC